AGGGGAGAGGCCTTAATCCAAACGACACGCCCTGGACAAGCAATCCATGCTTCAGTACAATTAAAACTGAGATGCAGGTTATGCTGAAAGTCAGTAGGGAAACGGGAATACTTTGGCAGGAGAGGAATTCTCAGTTTTGGCCAGAGAGATACTCAGATGAAAATACTTTAAAAAAAAAAAAAAAAAAGTACTATAATGTGGAAAACAAGACAATGGGTTTGATTTGAGTTCCACAACTCTCCATAGTTTCTCAGACTTATTCACAATTCCACAAGTCATCAATGTTCCTCAAATTTCAAAACGTACCAAACAGTTCCATAGAGTTCCACAGCTGTTCAGCCCCTTGGGCTTGCAAAGAGTTCCACAGAGTTCCATAATGATCCACAGGTCATCAGAGTTCCTCAAAATTAACCAGTCAGTTCCAAAGAGTTCCACAGCTCTTAAGTTCCTCAGAGGTAAAAAAGTTCCACAGAGTTCCATAGTGTCCCATGGGTCATCAGAATTCCTCAAAGTTCAAAAAACCCCACAGAGTCCCATAGGATTCCACAGATCTTCACTTCCTCACAGTCCTAAAGCTCTTCAGAGTACCGCAAATTTTCAAATGCTCCACAGAATGTGAGCTGAAGTTTGAGTTTGCGCCAGCTATGACCGGATGTTCTGTAGCTGTGAATCACAGCTGGCACCAGTCCGCTGATAAAGAGAGTGTTTAAAATGGCCACAGTATGTTGACTGATTCCATGACCATTTCAAACATACACATATTACCAGGCAGGCCTGCAGATGACATTTGGGTACAAGAGACAAATAAGTTTAGACAAAAGATGAGCAGAAAAAGCCTGTGTCTCCTGGAATTCCCCCTTTTTTGACCTCCACTCTCACTTTGGTTAAACATATACTGCACTTTCCACTAAAGCAGTCAAGACAATGTCAACAGAGCACTGGGTCCAGTCAGAAAGCAGAGTGGGATTGGCTCCGGCCCGAGCAGGTGGGTCCTTGGCTGATTCACCCAAGACCTCAGGTTGGCATCCGTGCGGCACAACGGGGTCCTCCCCTCCCGGCATGTTCTCCGAAACGAGTCCCAGACCCCTGTTTGGGTAAACAAGAGCCGCTCGGCGTCTCCCTGGAAGGCTTCAGCATAATCTCTCCTTAATGAGCCAACCCCCCTCCCGCCCATTCCTCGGGGGCCACCCCGAGCAGTGCCGGCGTGTCCTATGGAGTGCGCCCACCGACCCTGACCCTCGCACGCCTCCGCATGTGAAATGGAGGGTCCGCCTTTTGTCCGCTCCCTCCCCCGCCTGCAGCAGAGGCACGGCCCATTTGCATAGCCCTGAAAGGCTCAACCATGTTATTAATTAATACCGAGCCGACCGCCGGCGCCTGACAGAATCCCACCAAGTGCCTCAAACGGAACCGTTTCATCAAGAGCGGGAGAGCATAAAAAATGGACTGCCTAACCCACCCCCCCATCCCTTTTACTCTTTTCTTACTTTTAACAACAGCGGGCCTGGTTCATAAAAGTCCTAAAGAAAAGTGTGTGTGGGGGGGGGGGGTGGCTGAAATGGAATTTCAATGGTCACAAAGCTGAAGGTGCAGCAGCTGGATGGCTGAGTGCGGCGCAATTAAAAATCCCCATGGAAATTCCTCCCTTCGGCTTCCAGATCCAGCCCATTCAGCAAATCTTTAGGGGAATTTAATCCAGGAGATATACTGTTGGGGAGCGACGGCACAGACGCGGCTGCTTCGCAAACAACATCCCGCTCTGTCACTTAGACGCCATGCCACGTCTCACCTGGAAAAAAATCAAACACGCAAGCAAGTTCATCCCCTAAGCGACACGCTCCTAAACCCAGTCTGCCAATGCTGTCTGTCACACGAGATGACAGCAAGTCTACGAGCCCAGTTTCAGCCTCCTTCATGGGGTTTTCAGGTACCTCGAACCCAAGATCTCAAAACTGAACCATCCTAAAAGTGATTCAGTGACACCCCCCAACAAGAACCCCAAACCAGCCACATTAATCTTTGCTGATATCAGAATGTTGGTTGGACAGGGGGGTGGGGCAGGGTTTGGGTGGAGGATGGGGTGGAGAAAACCTGGCTGGGTCCAGTGTGCTGGAGGGGGGTCTTGTTGCCTCTGGATCCTATTATCCAGCAACCGAGAGAGGCAGGCTGGGAGATGTACACTACAATGGCCCCCCAACCGGGGCAGGACGCCATACCCTGAAGGAGGAGCAAAGCCTGAGAATGGGAAGAAAACCCACATTCCAAACCAAAACCACCGCCGGTGACGAAACTGGCTCCTTCTCCCTCTCCTTCTGTCAGCCATTAATCACCTGCATCTCTCCTGTGACCCCCTGCGTGATCTCCCAGCCAAACTGCCACCATGGATGACAGCAGCACCAACAAGGAGGCGGCCCTCTCTCGTCCCTTTGAAGTGTCATGACATCTCGGTATTCCCAGGACATGAAAGCCATGGAAGGAGAATAAGGTGATACCCTGGGACATCCTCAGGCGCTCTGTTAGTCAGGGTTCTTTCAGGCCAACCATTGGGAGAAATGCATCTCAGTCAAGCATAACTGACCCAAGAAAAAGCAGAATGGGGTTGCAGTAGCCATTGTTACTTGAGATGTACAGTATTATCATGTGGCTAAAGTAGGGAATCTGCAGCTGTTCCCATGGAGGCATTAAGATGCCTCATCACAGCAAATTGCTTGTGCCAACTCTCATGTGACCACTTGCAATTGACTTGAGCTGTGGTGAGAGATGAGGGAAGAGACCTGTGGTGATAAAGAGTGCTGAAGTCCGTCTGGGCTTTAGCGAGACCGATCTGCCCTTTCGGCCTTTGTGCCACAGGCCCTGCAGCTCCACAAAGAAACCCCTCTGCGATCTGAGTGTGCCCATTTGACGGAGCCCTGACACGGACACATCAAAGCTGGGGGCCTACCTGTGGCACAAAGGGCGATGAAGGTCTGAGCATGCTTGCGGACCAGCGCCAGCTTATCCTCGGGCAGCGGAAGCTTCCGGACAATGTGCTCGATGAAGTCATTGGGGGTGACAGCCGCGAGGTTCCACTTCAACTTTCCCAAGACGACAAGCTCCCAGTCCTAGGAGGGGATGGATGAAGCATATTAGTCAGCTTCCTGACTAGTACATTCAAAGGAAGCAAAGTGAAGATTATAACACTGAGCACAGAGATGCACATTCTCCAAAGCTAAGATATCAAGGATGACATGAAGGCTTGAACCGACAAACTCTCTAGACCAAAGTTTCACAATTTAACTTTACAGCAGTGGTCACCAACTTCCTAACCCCAGCCTTGATGAAACACAATAATTAACTATTTAATCCTTGAGAGAAAAAGACAGCTCAGATTCAGCCAAAATAACGTTGTAACAATTAAATTCTAAATTTCCTTCCAACACAAAAAATAAAGGCATACATACATACGCACACACACTTGGCATTCACATAGGTAAAAATACACTCTTCCCATTCTGGATAGAAATTGGAAGTTTTCACCTTCTTTTGTGGAGCCTCCGCTATGCTAACTAATTGTTAGCCACTTAGCAAAGTAACATGAACCAGTGTCGCACATTGATATTTGCAACAATGAACATGCCGGTACTCTCCTGTCATTGGTCACTTTAATTCAGCACCTGCTCCACTGAAAAATGCAGCTGGATTGAGATAGATAGAGAGAGACGCCTGCAAAACGGAACATTAATCATGCATTCTGTATATGTATTATTTATTTTCATATTACATTCGAGAGCTATAGGGAAAGTTTCAAAACATCTACCACTCAATGTCAATCGACGGGTTGGTGACCACTGCTCTAAAGCTTCTGTAATGTCCTGACCTGACTCCCTGATATACAACTAAAGTCACAAAGCAAAAGGGCAGACTGCAAACATCTCATTTTTCAAGCAAACCTGAAAAAGCAGCCTTGACTTACAGAGTTCAACGGCTTCTCAATGTTACTCAAGAAGACTCTTCGCTCAGGCTTAAAGTAGTGAGGCAGTATTTCCAGTTCAAGTCTGAGAAGATGCCTTCTCATGCGTCCTTGTTGTGTGTGATGGGGAAAATCTTTTTCGAACCGAAGAAGTAACCTGACAAATGCTATCAGTCCTACCACTAACCTTTGTTTAAACAAAACTTTATGAACTGAAGGTATTCCACGAAAGCAAAAGCTGTCAAAAACACAAGCCGTGTGAATGATTAAGATGGTCCTTCAAGATCAAAGCATTATAGCTCATTTATCATGAAAAATATAGTCAGCTACTCAGTAACAGACTGATTTGATTAAAACAGTGACTTCAAAAACTGGTATTACTGAGCATTAAGGAACTTAACCTGAAGTTACAGGCAACTTCTCGTAACTTCCAACTTCCCCATGGTCTACAGTGGTAAAGATACAGGCGTTAAATGACAGAAGTCCATGTGTCTTCTTTAGACATGTAAGTGAAACAGAAGAGTTACTACAATCCAGTGAGGCAACATCTCCCTCAGTGGGCTTTAACTACAATCCAGTGAGGCAACATGTCACTCAGTGGGCTTTAACTACAATCCAGTGAGGCAACATGTCACTCAGTGGGCTTTAACTACAATCCAGTGAGGCAACATCTCACTCAGTGGGCTTTACCTACAATCCAGTGAGGCAACATCTCACTCAGTGGGCTTTAACTACAATCCAGTGAGGCAGACTCACAACTCAGCATGAACAGCATAATCAAATGAGGCAGTGTCTCATTCAGCAGGCTTTAAGTCCAATCCAGTGAGGAGCCTGACACTCAAGCTAGCTATAAGTCTAGATCAACCATGTTGCAGAGTGTCTAGCCAATGACTCATACCCCCATTTCAAAAGCAGGCTGAACGCACATCACTTGGGAGGCCAGTGATAAGACCTTGGTGAAGAAGTGGCGAATCCAGACGTCACGTTGCCAAAACCCCAAAAGCTCCTCATAGGAAAGGCCTACATATTGTTTGTCTTCTGTCATTTTCTTATGAAGACAATAGTTCTCCATCCTAGAAAAGACTGCTTTGAAGGAGGAGGGTCACTCGTCCTCAGAGCTTCACAGATCTCTGGGCCTGGACACACGCCAGCGCTACGTAACAACTGCCCTTTGTCCATCTGACTTCACAACTGTGTAGAAGTCAGCAATTACCCCCTGACAACCCTCAAGGGAAGAGAGTAGTCCATTTATACTGAAGAAAGTGAGCAAAGACTTGTAAACGACTATGTAATGAATGATAGTATGAACAACCTGAGATGCTCAAAGAAAGCTTTATGATTTTTTGTAAACAGCCTGTCTGTCCACACCTGATTTTCTGGACACACTTTGTTCTTAATACTTAAATCCTCTTCCATACACAGATGATGGGGTTACGATGGGGTTATGTTTCGATAAACCTATCATAAAGCACAAAAAAAACCAAAATGTATTTTAAAATAGTACACAGTACTCACCTAATATCAGAGCCTTACCTACCTTAAACATGCTTAGAACACTTACATTAGCCTACAGATGGGCCAAATCATTTTAAAAAGCCTATTTTATGACAAATTGTTGAATATCTCATGTAATATATTGGATAATGTACTGAAAATAAAAAACAGAACGGAATTGGAATACCCATCGTAAAGTCAAAGTATGGTAACTCAGACCATGGTAACCAGGGCAGTGTTAGTGCAAACAAAGACCATCACACGATGCAAACTCCTGCATAGCATCTACGCAGACGGTAGCCCCTCCCTTATGCTGTAGCTTAAGCCATAGCCTGATGCCTATAGTTAATTTTCTGGGGGGGTACACAGCTACGCGGCTACCTGTGGCGAAAATTCTATGCAGAGGTATAAATCAGCCTTTTCAAGTGTCACAATCCCAACTTTTAACATCAGTTAGATCTACATTTCGCCAAATACTTAATTGTCTGAGTCTGACCCTGGGCATCTCAGTCCCGGTTCACCCATCCTCTGAGCCCAATTGGTCACCGGCACCATAAGAGTCAAAGTCAATATTCAGGTTTCAGCAAAGTGGGCGTGAAGGCTGAGGTGTTGCTTGAATCAGCAACTGTCGTGCAACAGACATGCATGTGATGGACATGCGTGCGGAAACTCCTCTGCGCTGCAAGTTCCTGCAGTTGCGCCTGTACCCATCACATCTGTGGGTTTTAAAACACGTTGTCACATCAAACAGAGCTGCTCATCCGTTTCCTTTCTCGATGACCCATCGGCCAAATGGAGGCCACAGAGACACTGTGAAAGCAGGCAGTGAGTTCATGAAAACCCCCTCTGCTTTCAGGGAGAGCCCCTCCCTGAACTGGGCCAGTCTGCCTTTCGACTCTACTTTCATGCACGGGCCCCTCCCCCGTACTCAGAAACCGAAGGTATGCAGAGAGAGTCTAAGCCTGATCGTCCTCGCACGCATCCTTTGCAGCTGTGTCACTCCAGAAGTTCTCCAGTGAGCCCAAGGACACGCAAGGACACAGCAGTGGTGGGTGGAGAGGCGGGATTTGGACCTCAAACCTTGGTCCACCATCTCAGCCCACATGTATGCAGTCCTAAATTCCCAAACATGACTAGAACAAGCAAACCCTCCCTGACTGAACAGTGTAACCCAGCAACACACTATATGCCAACTCCAGTACAACAGAACACATGAATGTACCTGACATCTAATCCAGTGCAAAGTCAACCAAGAACACATCATGCAGCCAGTCTTGTATAGTGTTTAGCAGGAACGCACTTGTTAGACAGTTACTTGGGATTGCACTGCACTTTCCATTTAGCTCAAAAGTCCCCAGGAATACACTGTAGAGCCAGGCACTGCAAAGTCACCCAGGAATGCAGTGTACAGTCAATCCAGGGTAATGTTAACCAGGACTGCACTGTACAGTAGTGAAGTCACTGGAAAAAAAGAGACAATGCAGGCTATATTCTAGGACATGGCTTTCCACATGCAGTGAATTATGCCTGGACTCTTTTGCAACATGAGCGGGATCCGGTGCTTACAGAAAAGATGTTTACATAACGACAAGGAGGAAATCCTTATCTGATGCAAGGATCCAGCATGTTTTAATCTGAGCCGCCTTACAGGGCCGATTCACCAACAGGATGGAGCTTCCTGGGACACAGGGATGAACAGAGACCCCCTCAGTGTAGGTCAGCCTAACTCTCAGCAAGTAGCAGCGATGCTATCGTGCCACCAGACAACATCCAACAGGACCTTCCAAAATAATATCAGGCCATATAAAACACTCAGTGGAAGGTCCCACACCAAAGAAAATACTCCAAAATAGAAAACACTATTTTATCCAGAGAAGACAGAAATATATAAGAAAATTTTTAGACTTATATGCTGTGAACTACATAAAGAAAACAATACAAATATGTAGTTCATTGTGCTTGGAGGACAAGGGACTCTGGTCAAGAGATTTTGCCTGTGAAGAACATGCGCCTAACCCTACCAGCTATGGTCTGCCCTCATCAAATCATGAGCAGCATGGTTCTCCTCTTGAAGACAAGACCGTGAGACCACATCTCTGTCTCTTGCTTCTAAAATACATCATTTGTGATACACTGCAGTAAGCTGGTATATAGCAAGTAACATACTTGGTGGCCGACACATCTCATTGTTACCTGTAAGCTGAATGCCTTTTAATTCGCCTACCATCAACCATTAAGGGTTTAACCAAACTTGTGGTGTACAATGACATGACCCAGAAATCACTCGTCCTTCTCCTTTCTTATCCTAACCGCCCCCACCCTTTCACCCCTGCATTTGGCTGGAATCCGAGCTCTGGCAAGAGATCAACAGTGTGGTCGCCGCTTAACTGAAAAGCTTAGACACTAGGTGGCAATAGAGACCGATGTACTGCAATACCTCAAGTTATTTTATTGAATGCAACTTTTGGCACGGAACGCTGTCTTAATGTATTATATAAAGTTAACGTCAAATGAGTCAATCTTTTCGTAACAATGCATCGTTCAAACCTTATACAGGTAATCCGACAAATAAAACTCGCATTTATTTAAATCCCTAAAGCAATATAGGCACAAAGCCAGACGTTCTGATTAAAATATAAATCATGGTATATAATGTAAAAAAAACCTGCCACGGAATTATTTTCTCCAACGAACGATAACAGATATACACTTCAATGCTAAGGCAATGTAAATAACTGAAAATCCTTGCAATGTGGAGAAACGTCTTTTTTTTTTACCGCACACGTTGAAAATGCGTAATAATTTGCTGTGTTGCTTACCAGGAGGTCTTGCGGCTTGATAGAATTATCTGTGTAAATGCAGAGTTTTTCTGCTGTCAATGGTCGCGTCTCTTTTAACTTTGAAGCGAGGAACATGCACACCGCTCCTAGCAGCTGCAGATTACATTTTCTGGTGGGAACAACGGCTAAAAATCTATCCAAGTAGTTCATCGCCAAGGGGAAAACTTCTTCTTCACACTTTTGTTCTTCACAAACCTGGGGAGGGACACAAACGAATTATCTAGTAGCTAAATGCAATGCGACACGTGGTTCACCTTATATAATAATTTAATTATTTACTAATACACATCAGGATGGATATGTTGCATTCAGGCAAACATGTATTCAATAAATAAGATAAAATAAAATATGTAAGCCGCCGTATCTCATTAGAAACCGATGCAATTTCGTCACGAATTGACCTGCCCTTGAGCTACAAAAAATGTTATCAATTATTTCCGAATAGATTTTTGCAAGGCTAAAGGAAGGACCTAAGCAGAAGCTGTTAATAGGCTCGCATTCCTTCAGTTCATTCAGTAAGAAATGAATTCAAGTCACAATCACCGTAGCCAAAAAACACCCATGCAGCTCAGTTCGAGAACTGTTTTTTTAATTCGTCATATTTTCATAAAATATTTAAAAATATAAATAAATTGTATAAAGATGTAATTTTCACTTCAAAATGATCGGTAGTCATTTTTACATCATTCCCGACAATTGTTAAACTTGTAGGTCGACTTTATATGTTTTAAAACGTGAAATTTAAAGCCGAGTAGCGCGTGGCTGCTGCTGAATGCGTCACGCACCAGGCAAAATAATTATTTCAAAAAATTATTTAAAATCAGGATCGCAAATAAAATGAACAAATTTCACATGAAAAAAGAGCTTTAATTGTCTTCTGTGTTTTCCGACAGTTCTCGACTAGAAATTTTCAAGCGATTATTAATAATCGAACTTAATTCTTCGATGACGGATTTCGATGGCAGCACAGAAAGTAGGAGAGAGCTTCGGCCCCGCACCCCTTCCGCTGACTAATACTTTAAAAAATTATACAAAATGTATGATACGTTTCCCACATATGTTTCACCAAGATCTGTATAGTGTAGATGCTCGACTATCTAAATATGTGTATTTTGATAACTGTTATAGTGCTTTAGAGGACTACGAAGTCGTCGAAAAAAACGCAACCTTAAGCTTGTTGAAAAACAACATGGCGTTAACGCATTATAGAGTGGGTGACTGCAAACGTGTGCATGGAAATATTTATCCGAAAAAATAAATAAATAACAATTAAACACACTGCACCTTTTCAACATTGCCTGCATTCAGTTCAAACTGAAAGGTCTTTTTAATTTCTGTATTGAGACTCTTTCTGTCTCCCTCCCTCGCTGTTTCCGAGACGAGCGTAGCTCGACTATAAAAGTGTTGAAAATGATTACATTTACAGAAGCGGCGAATACCGTGAATGACATTTCGTTATATAGATTGCAAACCGTTTATTTTCACTCGACATGAAAAAGGACGACAGGCTGCAAGAAGGAAAGTGTTCAGAAAGCTTTAAAAGGAGGTACCAGCGCGGAAATGCAGTTAAACGGAGCTCACAGTACGAACCTCTAGCATCCAAGTTGCAACCATCCTCCTCATAAATGGCTGAATATCCTTCTGAAAGCATGTGAAATAAGAACTTTGGGGGAGAAATCTGTCTTCAATCCTCAATAGATTCTGTAAAACCCTGTCATCGTAGACGAGGTTCGGGTCGGGACGAGCCCTTACGGTGGCGTCCTCCAAGCAAAGCAGTTCCATGATTGTTTCAGTTCTTTCCTTGTCAAATACGACCACTCTTTAAAACATGCAATGACAATTGGGGAAAAGTACAAAAAAATCGAAGCGAAGTCTTGTAGGAAAGCATACAAGCGAGACTGCAGGGATACCCAGAACACTCCTGCCTCCCCTTGTGAACTTTTCCTTCGCCACTCGGCTCTGCTCTCACTTTCCTGTAGCTACATTCGAAGATCGCCTGTTGCTCTAAATGACGCAAGCCTCAAACAGTGGATCTCATTATGTCGAACAGTTGGCTCGCGGTCCATGCATGCACACATGAAACATTTTTTCTTCAGTAAGCTGATGCAGGACGAAAACGTTCTCATGTAGTCAGTCGGAGTGACATTTGTCTCACGAATGCAGTAATGACTAAATAAAATGCCCACCCTCAGACAGTCCACCACCCTTTAAGCTCGACTCTCTCACACGTGCGAACACATTAAAATAGGCACATCAGATAGCGTGTTTTCCCAGTGAAACACACTTGACAAACTAATAGCTAACGTGTGAAATGCTTATGTATAGCACACACTGACCGTGCAATAAAAATGCATGCAATGCATTCATGTGATTTATGATAGATTATGTATATTTTGTATAGCGCTTGTGATTAAAGTGTTCGTGGCGTGTGAGTTGCATTGTCCAAAATAGATGCTAACCCTCTGTCTACTTCAGAAACACGCACGGTTTGCAGAAAAGCATTCGTGTATTCCATATATTTTTCATATATTTTCAATATGTCGTGTTATGGTTCATGCTTTCCTTCTGAATGGTGTAGCACCAAAAAGTCTAAACTACCGGTCTAGAAATAGCTTTCTAGGAAATGCAATTGTCGTAGAGCTTGTGCCGGAGAGACAGCACACTGAGGATACTATGGTACGGTATATGTGTTGAGAGCATCATCTATTTATTTATACTTTCTTGTCAAACTTTGGAAAACGGACGCTGATAGCAATGGTGAATGGAGACGTGTAATTTCAGCAATGTGAGCAAAGACGTTTTTTGCATAGCCTACAGATGTTACATTAACCTACATCAATATGAGAAAGAAATTATTCAGCAGATTAAAGTGGCATCGTGAATATATCGAAACAGTCAAAACCGCCGGTGATGCTTGCACAAAAAGCTTAAGACAGACCAGTTTTGCAGTTGTTTATTCATAAACCGCACAAAATATCAAAACAACTACCGCCGAAAACATTTCTTACAAAAAATCATTGCACAGCATAGCAGTTTACCTGTACACGAGCAGTAAACATATTTAGGTTCGCGTGCCAATTTGGAACACACTTAAGCGTACTATGTAGTGGGTAACTGCTTGCACAACTCAACAGCCCAGAACTGGAGCTGTACGTTCACTTGAAGTAGATGTGGTAAATGTCTCTTTAAAACATTTTTAGTTGTTTTTACATTTGTTTCCTCCCCTTTGTTGCAATTTGCATAGCCAATGGATCTTCTGCTCGCGAGCAAGAAAGGCAGTTTGTTACTGGGCAGACTTGGTCCGCCGTGGTATGCTGCTGCTCCGCCGATAGCGCCTCGTAAATGACAGTATTACAAATTATTAAGCGGTGAGGCCATGTGCTCACAAAGAAAAGTCGCTTAATCGACCACGAACAAAGGCGGTAGCAACACCTGCGTATGTGTCGGACTAGACTCTATTCTTAAAACATACAGCGGGAAATAATATGATTTGTGACTTTTAGCGTCGAACTTCTTGGAAGTTTTGAAAGTTCATATATGGAAATATTTGAAATTAGCGATTCATCATTTTTCTTTTGCAATTATTTTCTAATTATTGAAACTTGTGAATATATAACAAATAATACATTAAAAAGCAAAAACAATTCATGATGCGTTTAAGATATTTTTAGACTTCTTACTTCCATGGATATTTTAGACCTGAATGGGCGTTGAAATATATAATTGTATACTGTTAGTAAAACGGAAATATAGTATGCAGAAAGCTATATCTATATATATTAGGCTATTTGCAAGTCTACAAATATGTAGACGCTATCAACAAAATACATAAATCGATCAAGCAGTGATTTACAAAACGATCATTTTCACTTGAATGCAATATGGAACATCAAACACCCCTCGTGATTACATCATTTGTAACCTATCACAAACACGTCCGACTCATACTTAACGAACTGATTTAATATTTTGGTGCGCAATTCTTTATATGAATATTTCGTTATTCAGCTTAATTGTCTTCTTCGGACGCCCGTTTGGTCGAAATGAGACGTTCGCCAAGATGAACCAATAGGTGCAGGTGAAAAAACATTTACACACCTTTAGGGAATACATACCAAAACAAAACGCATCAGACAAACGAATTGCCTTTTTTATTGAGACTTGCATTGGGCTACCCAGTGCGTCTTTGTGACTTAGACCGCGCTGGGGTTTTATAGGCTCTGGAATCCTGAAGCCAATGAATTAACTCCCGAAGCAGCTAAGATCACCCCCGGTCTGTTACCCTTGTTAAGTCCACAGACGTAGCATGCACTAGTTAACTCAAGACTTAGACTATTCTTCACTAAATGTATCAGGTAGCGAACACACTTGAAGTAGCCTATTTCATGTATAAAGATATTAGGCTACTACGTTAGCGGATGTTGAAGTCGGATCACAAAGGTAACAGTGTGCCATATGTCGTCCCCCCCCCCCACATTAACAGAGGGAAGAAAGTTATCGCGTCCATTTAGGGAATAGACAAGGGTGATTAAAGGATATTGCCGTTTTTTTTTACCATGCACGTTAAAGATAGCACTTCCGTCACAATAAACCAATACCTTCTCATTTTGTCCCCTTTATGCGTATATGTCCCCTTTAGCGTAACCAAATACATTATAAAGTATGTAAAGCATGAAACAGAAGAAAAAATTAAATAAGCTATCCGAAATATCTTATTATGATATTTCATGACGTATCTCTGAAGGTAGCTGCTTTATTGGTTAAATAAAAGCCATCCTATACTGTATATGTAGATTACTCAAAGTGTTTTCTTTTTTTACGTTTTGAATATTATTTTTTTACTGCAAATGTTATGTGGTCGAAAATTTCACTTATTTATATCTTTGATCATTACAACAGATATTATGACCGTTAATCTAAGTCGAAATACAGGTTTCCTAAGGGCTTTTAGTCTTTCCTTATTGTCTACAGTCTGATAATTGCAGCTGCAATTGCTTTGAGTTTTTTTTTTTTACTTTTTGCATACACTTATCTTTGTGTAGATTGGTAACGTGACATTAGTAGAAAAACAAACGAAATATTCCAATAAAATATATTAGCTGCAAAAATGTAGAACCTAGCGTACCACGTCCTATATAAAAAATAAAATTAATAGTCATAAAATTACTTAAAATATAATTAAATGTGCATTCTTCTGCAACCCCGCTTCAACGAATTAGTGGGGATGGTGCCTGAATAACGTTATTTTTTAAAAAAGGTTAAACAGATGTAATGTATGTTCAAATATATTTAATCACATTTAACGATCACCCAAAGCAAAACTATTGATCACTATATTATGTTTAGTAATTTAATCAGAAGACAAGCAACTACTTTCTCCTTTCGAATATATTCACATTAAATCTTGAGATCAGCTTAATTATATTTCTTAATAAATAAAAAGATGCTAAAATTACAAGTTGTCATCTTAACAACAGATGCATATTATGAGCACCGATTCTCCAAACAGCAACAATAAAGCAGGGAGATTATTAAACAGTTACATAGTTTTATAGAGCAGGGAGATTATTAAACAGTTACAGTTGCATAGTTTTATAGAGCAGGGAGATTATTAAACAGTTACAGTTGCATAGTTTTATAGAGCTCCAAAGCATGTGTCAGTGAGGCAGGTTATGAAATAATTATGAATTTGAACCTGAAAGAACTCTTTGTGACTATGCCAAATAATATAATCACTTTTACATAACTATTGAATTCACGTACAATAGCAATAAAAGACACATCGAAAGACCCAGGAGGGGAACAGACTTAATGTATGTATTGGTGTAAAGTGCAAATTTCCAGATGATAAAATTTTAATTGACATAATTTTCGGAAGTTACTGTTATGTTTTGAGAACTTTTAAAATTCAGTTTATGTAAAATGTATGACATTGTTCATACTGCTCATTAAATATTCCCTTTAACAGCATGTCTGTAAATCCAATAAAGGCATCATGCTTCTTTAAAACAGCAACATTTAAGTGCAACCCAGATGTATATGTTTCACAACAACCCACACCCGCCCATTTGTTTTTATTCTGGTCTGCCCCTGACTTTCAAAAAGTGTTAATTTTGTCAGAATATATTTTCACATCTTTCAGATATTTATAACTCATATCCAAGTTCTTATCAATGTAGATTTCAGAATACCTTTTCATTTCCTTCCTTGCTTCCTTCCTCCCTTATTTCCTTCTTTCCTCCCTTCCTTCCTTCCCTCCTTCCATCCATCCATCATCCATCCATCCTATATTAAAATTCCTTATCCTGGTCAGGGTCCTGCAGACCTTGTACCCATTCCCTATTTTTATGTTTCTGCAGTAACACAGGAATGAACCTTGAAAACAGTTTTCATGAGGTATGCACATGGTAATCAGCCGGTCCCTTTGTATGCTTTAGGGTGACTTCAGTGCCACTGCAGAATCTGTACACAAAATACACTTGCAGCTATATGAAGAACACAAATACCATACTGACAGAGACCAGAGAGTCTGCACAGTACAGACATGGAGCCCAGTGATCCAGATCCATAAAACGATGATTTATATTTACATGACCATCAGCTAATTTATCTCTTCACAGCGATGTCCCAAGAGCTGAAACACCAACCACAGGATCTTCAATCTTTCTATTCAGCAAAACAAAGAACCAAAAACTCAGAAGAAACAAATGTGAAGGTATTTCCACAAGAGCAGAACATTTCTGGCAGTCTTCAGTCATTACACTCAAGTGTCCTCCAAATGCAAATGCCTCTCATGGTCAGAAGTCTGCAGTCATCAGCAGCACAAGGAGAACATACTGACTGGCCATGAGCTCCAAGCACACATCGTTCTTAGCTCTGATTCTCACCTGCATTGACTCACCCACCGGTGAGAACCTGGGTGCCTGTTCAGAACCTGCGGTAGCAGCTGTTTGTGCCGAACGTCTTCAAAATATAATGTGCCATCATGCATCACCAAGAGACACAAAATGCTCAACCAGTTGGCCTCGTTTAGAGGGAGAGAGAGTTTGCAGGGGCTGGTGGTCTGGCTCCCCCAGCTTGTGCCCTGAACCTCAAGGGAAGGCGGATGGCAGCTGTACGGAGGTTGATGGTTCTGTGGAATAATGTGTTTTATAGAAATGCTGTAGGGGCCTCCCTTCTTAGACCTTCTCAACACTGGGTTTTCAGGCTATACTGTTACTTTGAGTCTGTATAAATTCACCTGAAGCAATGCTGCAGCCCAGAGCTCTCACACTGCCAACATAAGAAGCCTGTAACCTTCTCAACACAAGACGTGCACATCTCTATTGCCGACACAATCAAGCTAGAAGCCAACCAAGAAAAATATGTCCTCAACACATAATAAAAATCTAAATTTTGAAAATTTAAGGTATCCTTGTTCATTGATTGATTGATAAATTGATTGATTACTGTCCAGATTAATTCATTTCTACAAGCAGCAGACACACCTAAAAAAGTTCTTTGGAATTAAGTACATAAATAACAAAAGCCACAGGCAGAGACTAACTTGCATAACTAAAGGTTAGTGGTTCTTTAAAACACAATTCCGCAAATCCAGCATATGCACATTTGAGACAGAAAGGGGTTCGACTGCCTACGCCTGTTCCGATGTGCTGACTCAAGATCCGACGATCTGACGTTAGATGGTCCACCGACTGACGGAGGTTCAGGACCAACTCGCC